CACTGATTCCACCTTATAATTTAAAATACATCCCAAAAGAAACTGTACTCCCAAAGCCAATCACCAACCTCTACGATGAAGAAAACATGAACTTATCACACAGTGAGCTACTTGAAAAATGTAGTAAAGTGACTTTGACGATAAGTGACGAAGAAATAAAGGCAATTGAGGCACACACGAGGCAACAATCAGCAACAAGTGTGTGGTTTCAGCAAAGAGGAGGAAGAATCACAGCCTCAAATTTCAAGTCTGCCAGCCATACCAATATCAATAAGCCATCACAAAGCTTAATCAAAACTATTTGCTACCCTGGAGCTATGAAGTTCAAAAGTACTGCAACAACTTGGGGATGCAACAATGAGTCAAATGCACGTGGTGCTTACTTGGAGCACATGAGGAAGAGTCATGAATATTTTACCATATCAGACAGTGGACTTCAAGTCAACAAGCAGTGGCCTTTCATTGGGGCGTCCCCTGACGGCATGGWATATTGCAAATGTTGCGGATCTGGAGTGTGCGAGGTCAAGTGCCCATACAAAGCAAAGGATGCTCACCCTACAGATCTATCAAATGAGAACAATTATTGCCTAAAACAAAGTGGTAACTTGGTATATCTTGACAAAGCGCATAGCTATTATTACCAAGTACAATGTCAAATGTTTGTGTGTGATGTGGAGTATTGTGACTTTATTGTGTGGACTCCAAAGGGACTATTTGTGGAACGGATTATGCCAGATGTCGAGCTGTGGAACTCAGCACTGGCAAAAGCCACTGATTTCTTCTTCAAGYGAATTCTTCCCGAGATTGTTGGCAAGTGGTATTCCCGCCCAACACTCCCGTCAACTCATGTGCAACCTGACGTAGATGATGATGATGCTGAGTGGTGCATCTGTCAACGACGGATTGAAGGAAGTACCCTTGTTGGGTGTGACAATGATGATTGTAAAATAAAATGGTATCATCTACAGTGCCTGAGGCTGAAAGAACCCCCGCAAGGAAGTTGGCTATGCAACAACTGCCAGTTATGAACTACAAGATGAACTCTCCATGTACAAAGAACAAGCTGAGTGAAACTAACAATCATTTGTATGTAATTTATTGTYAATAGTGGTTTCAATATCCACCAATTTTTCACATTAATATTTCTTTGAATGAAAGAAACTGTCTATTTCAAATTATTTTGTGTACAAATGTTTAACATGTATTTTTTTATAAATAATATATGAAGAATTTAATAAACATGAAATGTGCAAAACAATAAGCACTATTCAGTAGAACATCAACTCAATAGGAAAATGCATTTTCATATTAGAATGCAAACACTAAGTGTGTTTAATATGCTGCAGTGAATACCATTATTAAAACAAGTAGTTTCAGTCTCATGAGCTAAATCTACATGCTGTTCCTAGTACTGCATTATAATATTGTCTAAAATAATCTATTTTTTCCAAAATATTCGCCTTTAAAAGATATATAGACTATGTCTATAGCAGTATATTTTAGAGTGGTTTCAATTAATCTGTGAAATAGTTAGTAGACTAATAGTAACTATTCAATCCTAGTATTTCCATTGTTTTCTTTTGTTTTTTCTTTTCTCTTTTGACTATTAGATTTTGTTTCACAGATTAATTGAAACCACTCTATGTTTGATTAAATTTAACTATTCAAAAGGCACAATTGAATCTGACAYATTAGTTAACGCACAAGATACTTTAGCAATTCTATCAATTGACACCTGTTTGCCATTTCGTTTTGCCTMAACTAAGTGAATTGGCAAAATACTTTGCAGGATGGTGTACTTGCGACGTACCAGTCCAATCACTCTTTCAACYTGTATCCTCACATTTGCAATTTTTCTGGTTTCCTCAACTTCAAGTGCAGATAGCTGCTTTTTTCCTTTCGTAAATGCCGGTATATGTAGTTTGGCTTGCTGGATTGCAACACTGTCTGCAATGTCAAACCCCCTGTCRGCCAATACAATGTCTCCAGGGAGAAGTTTTCTTAATATGCTGCAATTTTCTGTAAGGTATTTGTCACTTACTCTCCCACCCCAAGCTTTAGATATAAAAGATATAGAGCCTTGTGGGGTAATACCAATTAAAAATTTAACAGTGTTGTGATGTTTATAGTTGGACCATGTCATTGCTCGAGCAATCAAGCTAGATGGCTTTTCAATAAACACCTCAAACACCTCAGTCGATTATGACAGACACCTTTTTTCCAAAATTTTGTTTAAAGACTGTTGGCATTGTAGCTCTTAGTTCCTCTCTGTCTGGCCAATGTATGAGGAATTCCAGGCGATCAGACATGACCTCAATCCACCTATCAAAGATTCTGCTTGCTGTTGATACAGAAACTGAGAATCTGTAAGCAAGGTCTTGCAGAGGTACATTGATTTTAATTCTCATAAGCACAAGGAGCATCTCTTGAAACTGTGTCAGTGCATTGGAGCTTGTAGATTTAACAGAAGGTGCAATTAAGGTGAACACTTGCATGAGCAAAAAGAAATTAGGCAAGCCAGTATAAAACTGTGTTTTGTTATCATTCCCCCTGAATGAATCTATATTCATCTGGGATTCTAAGAGCTTTTGTTTCAGATCAGATAACTCTGATTGTATGGTCTGCATATACTGTTCTTGATTTTCGAGATCCCTGGCAGTAAGTGATGTCTGGACACATGCATCTGAGCCGGTCTGGACATATGTTGTCTGGACATATGCCTCTGATAATTCAACTGACACTTGGCAGCCCTTCTGATTGTCCTCGTCTGTGCTAATAGCTGGCTCTATTATAAAGGACACAAATAAAAAAAAGAACATAAAGTTATCAAAATAGAATAGTCATTTGTAGCCTACATAGGAAAAAAAATCATATTATTATTAATTCATATTACATTCATTAACCCCAAATAAATAAATGTAAGATATGCAAAAGGTCTGTTTTGATTCACAAAGCTGAAGCAAAAGCGTATTTGATTTAAAACTTGTTTTAGCCTACCTGGCAGTGGATTTTCAGAGGGAGGTTCATCTGTAGTTGTCACACTGTCTGTCAACTCCACGTGTTGAGCTTTCTTTGGCTTCTTCGATTTCTTTGGCTGCGTTTGAGTGGGCCTTTTTGCTCTTTTATCGGCCCTTGCCCCTCGTGAAGCAGCAGCAGAGGGGTTTTTGATAAAATTATGCCCCATATTTACAGTAGGTGCCCAATCAACGTTGTTCTGATCGTAAAGATCAGCCGGTTTGCCTACATGAATCACAACAACAACATGGAAATTAAACTCTAGCGCACTTATTTACATCATAGTTCGTATCAAAATTATAGCACAAACTGAATGTAGATCTGTTATAACTAACTTCATTCTAGATTATACTTTTTTATGAGTATTAAATGTATTCATTTCACCAAATGAATCGAAATGATTCAAGTAAATATGTTGATTGTTTTCGAAGCTGCGCGTTTCCCGCGAAAATATTGATGTGCACTAAATCATCTCGCAACTCAAAAGACCAAACTCAGAATTTCGATAATGATAGATATTCGTAAGTACACTTACCGTTGACGAAATGAGCGCTACAAACTCGTGTTGTTTCAGCTTTTTTCTRGGTCAGATCGTCCTTCGATCTTCCTATGTTGAAGAACCATTTTGCCCTTCTTTCGGTACTAAGTCTTTGCGTTTTGTCMCCAAGATGCGTTGTAATCTTAGGAATTCTATAAAAACTGAATCGGTCKTTGTCTCGGATACTGTTGTGACCACAACCAAACACAGCACAAAGAGTTGGCATGACAAAAAACTTCTATAATAAGCATTCAAAAGACTGATATCTATAAAGCCATMACCGTGACCTCGCGACTGCATATCCTCCAAGATGGCCGACTTCCGGTTTCTAAGCATATGCATAATTAGGTGTGAC